AGACAAAGGATAACAAGTTGATTTCCAAACGTTATTTATCAATTTTTTTATTGTCATAAACCATATATGATTATATCAGTGGGCTACCACATCACAAGCATTGGGTGATATAATTTCCTTTTAAAAATGCTAATTTACCACTGAAAATGGTGCTTTATCTTATTTTTAAGTTTAAACTCTTCGATTATTTGTAAGACTCATCTTCGTAAGAGTAAGAAAATTGTAAGAAAATTATTTGTAAGAATATGTGTAACCCACGGTAGTCTCCTTGTGACCTGGTATACGAGAAAGCTCAAAATTAAATGAGTGTCCAATATACTTTGTTAGTGTAATTATTTAATGGATAGACTAACATTCCTACTCCATTCCAATGCATTAGTTGGTGCATTTCTTTTACTTTTCTTCTAATGGCTTTACTGCCCCTTCATTTTTTTTGAAAAGTCTAAATCCTTCTTAGAATTAGGCGGGTGTAGGCACATGTGCCACTGTTAGCACAATGTTACTGAAAATGCCTGTACAGTCAGGGCCTGATGCTGCAATATAACCAAGGGAGAATTCTCAGTATTGGCAGGATTCACACTTCAACTCGGGTTTCTCAGCCTTGGCACTACTGACACTCTGGGTCAGATAATTCCTTGTCGTGGGGGCTGTCCTGTGCATGGTGGGATGTTTAGCAGCATCTCTGGCCTCAACCAACCAGAAGCCAGTAGTGCCCTCTCTACCCTCCCCCAGTCGTGACAACCAAAAACGTGTCTAGACATTGACAAATATCCCCTAGGGGGTGAAATCATCCTTTATTGAGAACTAGTGCCTTTACCGCAGGCTTTGTGCCTAAAGTGAGTCAAACATTACTGCCAAACACGAATCTCAGGCCTAACTTGAGATTAGATAGGCCTGAAGCCCATCTTACAAAGCCCATCTGTGGATCATTCACCCAGAATCTTGCTTGAGCAAGTTAAAACTCATCTTTTAATCTATCTCTTGGGAGAATTTGGCTCTTTCAAATCCAGCTTCTACACAATTGCTAATAAAAATGAAATTATGGGCTGGCCCCATGGCTCACTCAGGAGAGTGCGGTGCTCGTAGCGCCGAGGCCACGGGTTCGGATCCTATATACGGATGGCCGGTGCGCTCACTGGCTGAGCGTGGTGCAGACAACACTGTGCTGAGGGTTTACGTAAAAACAGTGTTATAAACATAATCATACATTTCTCAAGACTAAATTCCAAACTTCATTAAGATACTTACTGTTAAAAAGCTGGAACCATAAGAAGAATCTACAATAAAGAAGATTTAAGAGAAATTAATTCAATCATCAATCAAAAAGCATTTACTGGGTGCCTACTTCAGTTCTAAAGTCTAATGGAGTATCACAGAGCCCTGGCCCAAAAGACAAATATACCCAAACTGAAGAATAAACCTGAAGAAAACTGTCACTGATGATTTCCAAATCATATTAACTAAATTCTTGGGAAAAAATTAACTGGGAAATCAAATTTCAATAATTTGCCAAAGGGTATTAGGTTATTTTATCAGTCTCTAATTTCANTGGGAAATCAAATTTCAATAATTTGCCAAAGGGTATTAGGTTATTTTATCAGTCTCTAATTTCACCAGGCATTGTGAATATTTGGGACAGGATAGAGAGAATGAAGGGAAAACAAAGAAAAACAGAGAAAGAAAAAGGTTAAAAAGGGAAAGAAAAGTGAAATCACAATTTTTCAGATTATTTTTGAGTGACATGTACAATGAGAAATGGCTCAAATAATAATAAATTGAAAATAAAATGGAAACTTCATCTCAAAAAAAATTTAGTTCTTCTTTTAATAGCATGTTAAAATCCTCATTTGAGAAGCAAATTTTACAAAAGTAGAATGACCCCATAACAGAGCCTTTTGTTGATACATTTTGAGGGCACTGTGAAATCAGCCTTGGGGAAGGCCACAGACTGCCCTAGCCCACGCTGAACAATGGTGCCATTTTCTGTCTTAGAAATAACACATAATGCCACTCCTCTGAGGAGCTCATTCTTCACTTTTCTGCCAAACTCTTCACTCCATTTTCTGGTATATACTGCATGAAGAAAAAAAAAATTATATAAAAAGAAAAATATGATGAATTAGGTACTTAGAGTTGCCAGACTTAGCAAATATAAACAAAGAATTCCCAGTTAAATTTTAATTTTGAATAAAAAAATAATTTTTTTACTTTAAGTATGTAATAGCTGATTACATTATTAAATATTAAATTATTAAATATAAATATTAAAGAATTATTTGTCATTTATTTGAAATTTAAATTTAACTGAATGTTCTGTATTTTATCTGGCAACCATGGCTGGAGTAGGATTAAAAAAGAGATGGGGCAGGATCACTGTGTCCACCTGGTTATTAACGAAGCTTGCAGTAGGTGATGACTAGGTACGTGAAGAGAAGCAATTGGCTGCCCTTCTGGGAGGTAAAAACATCTCCATTTGTAAGCTGAAGTCTAAGATCTAAATTCATTCTAACTTTCTCTATCATAGATTTATAAATAAACTAGAAGCCTCTTATAATGTGGATATTCTTCAAAAGGAACAGAAATTGCTTTTGCTCAGAGAATAATCTGCCCCACTGATCCATAAGATTTGTGATAAAAGCAAGCTAATTATCCAAGACCAAAATTAAAGTGTCACTCACATAGAGAAGACCAATCTAAGTATAAAAGGTGGAGGAAGGGAATCTATTGTGTGTGTGTGTTTGTGTGTGTGTGTGTGTGCATGTGTGTTTGGGAAAGGTTGGGGGCAGATTTTTTTTTTAATAGAGGAAGAGAAAGTGAAAAGGGGAGACAGCAATAAAAGAAGAGAAGGAGAAGGAAGAGAGGAGAGAAAGTAACTGTGGAGACAAAGCCATGACAGGCTGTAGCCATCCGGAGGTCAGAGGTAGAGGAGCTTGTGGCTTTCACAGGGTGCCTTTGAAGGGGGAGGAGAGAG